TATTTTAATTATTGTAAATTTAAAAATTATTATTCTGTACCTATATTCATAAAATCATTAATATATTATATGTCTGCAAACGGGTAAAAATTATCCTGAAATGATCACTAATATGCTAATGCAGTATGGAATAAAACAAATTGTTTTTACATGATCTTCAGGAACATAATCCTCAGAGTGAACAAGTTTCGACTTATACACCCTCTTCGTCTAGGAGCACTCCCCCCCCCCCCCCCCCCCCCCCTAATCCCCTCCCCTCCCCTCATTCTCCACTCTTGATCAGGAGGATAAACTGCTAGTCTTCTAAATCAAGCTGCTAAGAAAACTGTGCATACTTCTAACCCCGCGGTCGTTTCTTGACAAGATAAATTAAAAATCAATTCTACCACACGGGTGGGTTTGTAACTGTTTGAAATTGAGTTCACGCTCGGTGTTGTCGCTGACTGACGGTTGATATGACATTGTGACATCTTGTTTAACTCACGAGGACATATATGTGCACGAATGCCCCCTACCTGGGAACCGTCAGAAATGGCGCATATTGCACAATTGGGGCATTATCGATGTACGCCACGAGTGTTGCAACTACATCGAGTGTACATGAATTCTGCAATGTGAATGTGACATAAATAAAAATGAAAATATTACATTATTATATTAATCAAAATATGAAGTGCATTATTTGACAGGAGATAAGATAAATGAATGTGCATATTCCATGATTCTATATCAGTAGTTAGAGGATCCATCCCATAAATATAAACATGTCAAAGTCAGAGAATAACCAGTCTCGATTATCCGACGAAACAGATTCCAGATGAAAATTATATGAATGGATCACTAAAAATAAATGATGACACCAGGTGTTAACTCGGCGAGGAATCCATGTTGGTTTCTCTCGTTCACGTCACTGTGCCCTTACAACCTGGCAGCAGTCCTGACCCGTATGTAGATATTGCTCTATCTAAATTATGTTTTTTTATTCACCCTAAAAAATAATTTCGTAAAATCGCACATCGTGTTGGGCGGACTATTTGCGGAAGGGTCTGTCGTTATACGGTTTAGAGTTAAATCTTGGAATATCGCTACTCCATGTCTGACAGAGGCATTATATATAAGTAACGGGATAGACCGGGTGGATCCGAATAAAATGAGAGCAGGGACCATTGTACAAATGAAATCTCATGATAATACTTAAATAGTCATCAACACCACTGAAATTATATTTCTTTGAATTTTCGATCGATATCATATTCAATGATATTTGAACAAGTGATCACTCTGCGAATACATTTAAAACAAATTGTGATATATGTATGTTTGTACTATCAATACATCTTTATGATATTAAATATGAAGGAGTTTTAACGAAAACTTCCTCTGTGATCTATTTCCGATCAATTTCACAAAAATATCCGTTTAACTTCAGAAACCATTTTTTTACGAAAACCATGTTTTCTTATTTTCCTTTATACAGTCAGTCTTCTCTGGGCGGTCCATATCAATCATAGACAGTTGTCCTTCACTTCTCCTCTACAGTATTGTAGAATTTCACACCTCTCAATCCGATCTATTTGATGACCAGCTTTCCGAGACACGTCACCAAAGGTTTTTGCAAAAAGCCGAACTCTTAAGCGAAAAGAAAACATCTCTGACATCTTGGCAACTCGTAACCACTCTCAGGCGATTCCTGGTCGACCCGAACACGTTGTAATAAGCCCGTGCAGGTCTCAAGGTGTTCCTAGTGATGGCTGATACTCATTCTGGTTCTCCCTCCTACTGCGTTTCAAGCACTCCATATTTCACTCTAAATACAATTGGCTGACACGGAAATTACCCCTGAGCGAAAGCGGCACTGTTTGACTAAAACATTCTAAAGAGACTTTAAACTATTGTGGTGCGTAAACACTGCACCTTTTCTTTGTTAAAACGTGGTTTGATAAGTAACATATATACAAGTTGATTTAGGAGCAATGAGTTCTTCTCACTTGTGACGTATCTGGATATCATAAACGTCGACAACGTGGCAATGATTGGTTGTAACGCTGTCATAGTGAGATATACCTGAGCTATACTTTACCAATGAAACATTCACCGCTAGATATATCAAGGGTTGCGGAGGACGACTTAAGGATCCTTTGAGATTTAGACTTTACTTATTATTGATATATATATATAAACCGTCAACGTCAAAGAACGACCAGTTTCGAATACCAGGTTCTGTTGGACGTAAAAGTACATTGTATGAATTTTAGCAAAATCAGCAAATTTAAAAAAAGAAGCTTTGTCAGCAGATTCTGGTATCTTGGGTTTATGCTTTTTCATTCGATATCATCGTTAGGTATGTTCTTGGTATTTGACCTCTAATTATGTGAGGTGAAACGGGGTTTAACGTCGCGTCCAAGATTATTGCACTTTTATAGCGACGTGCATGCACGTGTGTGTGTGGCTGCTTGTACTAGTCCGGACTGATGCCGATTTATAGTGCTAGCTCACTCAGATATTTTGCCGCAGTTTACTGACTACCAGCCAACCAGTCCTTGTTTTTGCCCCTTAATACCGAGCGCCAGACAAGGTAACAACAAGTACCATCTTTTAACGTCTTTTGGTATGACGCGGCCGGGGATGGAACCCCGGACCTTCCGCTCTCCGGGCAGACGCTCTACCACTAGACCACGGTAAACATATGCAGTGAGGTCCGAGAATCCGAACCTCGATATTCCCCAAAACTCCGCTTCCAGACGATTGCTGTTAGGATCCTCCAATAGTGATAAAAGGGCATTCGGTTAATTTTTTTCGTTAATTTTGAATTTTGTAAATCCGGACGATTTCACTGTTCTGCGCCGAGACAGAGAATAGGATAATTATGCAAATGATAGTTAAAGCACCCTTTTTAACGCCAATAACGCTATCGTGTTTGGTTGTAATGCTTGTTCTGGGCAACGAAGATATCTTTGAGGTTTCTTCTGGTTTCATAAGGTTCGCAAAGTTCTCTGTACAGCGAATTGCGGCGCCCTAGACTACTGCACCCCACCCCACCCCGCCCCTTCCCACCCCATGACAAAATGACAATACATTGATGACAAGCTAACTTATCAACAGATGACATTGATATCAACACCAGGCGTTACTGGTAATCAGAATTACCTCCCTTAAGTCCCTAATGACGTCCCTAACAATCAACGGAACCTAGGAAACGGCTGTCTGAGTCTGGCATCATGTGACTTACTGTCAGGACGATAAAGGTACTCATCATACTATCGCAATAATATGGCAATACCGATACAGACCTTGCAGTAGCACCGTAACAGTTGCTTTGACTAGCGCAGTATTACTGCAATAGTTAACACGTCCCACAGTCACCCCTCGTTATATACTTATGTTATTGACACACTAACGAACAGACATTAGTGCTGAAGTCAAACTTTATCAACTCACTTTTGTCAATCAGCTCATCTGTCATGCTTTATGTGAAGGAAATAAGCCCGCAAATCGACCTTAATAGATCTTGTGTGTTTTCTAGGTTTTTTAGCTAATAAACATGCTTTTGGAAGCAAAACATATATAATATAATATGTTATTCATATATAGTAGTAGTAACTATGATATCGAACTTCTTATTATATTAAGACCAAGAAGGTAACTGGGATCTCGCCATGGTCAGGTCTCTATTGTACCACTGTGCCCATGCTTTGACCTCACAGCAGTAGTATCAAATGGTGTTGAGTGAGTGAGTGAGTATGGTTTTACTCCACCTTTAGCAATATTCCAGCAATATCACGGCGGGGGACACCAGAAATTGATTTCACACATTGTACCCATGTCGGGAATCGAACCCGGGTCTTCGGCGTGACGAGCGAACGCTTAAACAACTAGGCTACCCGACCGCCCCCAAATGGTGTTGTGATTTTGGTATTGTTTGGTATGTTACATAGACAACAAAGTATACCCGAGGGGTATTACTTTGAATCGATTTTTTCATTTGTAAAAACATCTAAAACTTTCAGACAAAATTAATAGGAAGTGAATACATACATACGTTAAGTAAAAATATCAAATTCAAAGGCAGTTTACAGACTATTACTCTCAGCACCTCGTTTGCATCTACCAGGTGTTGTAAATTACTTTCAAACTTTATTATCTACGTTCACCATGTTCTGTTAAATTAAATAAACCCACACCTTCTGAAAATAATTAATATGTCGGTTGCAGGTTAATTTAGGTGTCACCTAATGAATTTATATATAGACAAAGGATGTAATTCTTTGAAAATGCCAAAGAATATGCCATTCAAGCTACAACTTGTTAAATATGTCTTTTTTATATTTTAAATGTTATATTTTTATTCAGGTATTTGGCAAGGTTGGACATAAATGCCCTTACATTCTCACGTTTTTGGAGGTACCAGTTTTCTATTTCAAAATTTAACATACAAATAGAACATTTAACATTATACGTTGTCAGTGAATATTCAGACAGACTATGACCATTGGATACTCTTTCTTCTAATATGTATAGGTGTTCTGACAATTCCTTTGTAAATGATTAAAGTGGCGGTTGCCTTCAGTTACCCTATATCTTTAAGGAAAAAAGATTGTATACAAAACTACAACTTTATATTTGAATTTAAATTTATTTCTGGTAACAATTTCCAAGGTCAAATCTATTCGTAATGTAGCAACTACAAGGCAAAAATACCTTTTTAAACCAATTCTCATAATTAAATGTAAAATCAAGTATTCAAATCACCACAGATCAAATGATCATCCGAACTGGACATGTAACCATCTGAAAGGGCGATGCCAGGAACACTGTGGTAATGACGCCACAGAAAGAATATAGTCATCAAGCATATTTTAAAAAACCAGCATGCTGGTAAGAAATATACTTGTATCCTTTTTCTGTAGTAAAACCTGAGGACAAATATATATTTTTGAACCCAGGCCTCCAACAGAAGATGAAAATGTCAGCCCATCAGTAAGAAAGGTACTAGGACTCACCACTGCAGGGTCAAATTGGTCTGCTTCTTCTTATCCCGCATGATCTGGGCCACCGTCTTCTTCTGCTGCTGCTGTGAGATGCTGTTGTCCTGGCAACTGTTCTCGTGACCCACAGGCTTCTCCTCGTCCCCCATCATGCTGTCGTCGTCTGAGAACGCCTGGCTGTCATCTGTGTCAGGCTCTAGGAACAGAAACATCCATGTCAGGACATTGGTTCCTGCCAAATGTATACCAGATTCTTTGGCCATAACTACTATATGTCATTAAGAGCAGGGTCAGTCTGCAGGCTTTTTAACACCTGGTGTCATGCTCATTATTATGGGCTAAATGGAAATATGGTTGAAATCACACAGGTATTTATGTGCATATCTTCACCGCATTAAGGAGTGTATGACTTTCTTCATTGTATCTTCATCGCATTTAGGTTAAAATGAGTAACTTCACTGCACTGAATATTTTAATCTTCATCTTAAATGAGTAAATTCTCCGCATTGAGGTTTGAATGAGTTAATTCTCAACATTGAGGTTTAAAAGAGTATATTGTCCTAACTGAGGTTTAGTGAATAAATTTTCTGCATTTGGGTATAAATGAGTAAATTCTCTGCCCTGAGGTTTCAATGAGTAAATTTTCCGTATTGAGGTTTAAATGGGTAAATTCTCTGCATTTTGGTTTACATTAGTAAATTAACCGCACTGAGGTTTGAAATGAATACCATGTATGTGTGCTACAAATATCCCCCAAAAGGAATTAAATGAGTATCTGAGGTTTAAATGTCTATCTTCAACGCACCGAGGTATAAATGAGCATCTGAAGGGTTAAATGAGTAGTTGGGGTTCAAATGAGTATTTAAAGGTTAAATGACAATCTAGAGTTTAAAAGAGTACATGTGGCTTCAATGAACATTTGGTGTTTAAATGAGCATCTGAGGTTTAAATAAGTATCTTCACCCCACGGAGGTTTAAATGAGCATCTGGGGTTTAGATGAGTAGCCCCTAAAACCCCGAGCTAATCCCCCGCCCAACCCCCATCCAATAACCCGACCGAAAACCCAATGTCATGTCCCCGACCAAATTCCATTGTCATGTCCTCGACCCAAAATCCCATGCAATGCTCCCGACCCAAGACTCCATGCAATGTCCCCGACCCAAAACCTCATGCCCTGTCCCCGACCCAAAACCCCATGCCCTGTGCCCGACCCAAAACCCCATGCCATGTCCCTATTCTGACGAGGGCAGACAACAACCCGATCCACCATGATGATAAGGGGAGATTACGAGGTTTATCTCTCAAGCTTGTGACCAGTTGATAAACTTAATGTCAAGATATTTTAATGTGTTAAAGATGTCGGCCAGTTAGGCGATAAAACAATTTATTCATGTTTTAGCGTGAAATATTTTGTGTCAACCCGAAAGAGATTATGAAAGTTAATATCTCCAGATGACGTATATCTGGATTACTTTCGGGTCTGTTTCTGGTGCTAGAGGGTAGGGTCTACGGCAGCACAGTTTGTTATGCAACGTCCTGTCCTGGTAAAACTGGTTTGTTTGTTTGTGTTTGTTTATTGTTTAACGCCGCACTCAGTAATTATCCAGCTATATGACGGCGGTCTGTAAATAATCGTGTCTGGACCAGACAATCCAGTTATTGATATCATGAACATCGATCCACGCAATTGGGATACGATAACATGCATCAACCAAGTCGGCGAGCCTGACTACCCGATCCCGTTAGTCGCCTCTTACGACAAGAATAATCGCATTTTACGGCAAGCATGGGTTGCTGAAGAGCTATTCTAATGGGTTCGACTCCTGTTTCATCCCGATAATGATCATTGGTCGATCAAGAACCATTCCTGTTGTACTTAGGGGAAAAGATGTGCTCCATTTCTAGGTCAAACATCGAACAGTCAAACAGTTACCCAATAAATAATATATAATCAGATCACCCAAACCACTGTGGACATTATGTGTCGGCACTAAACCATATTCACAAATCTTTGAAAACCATTTTGTCAAGAGTATATTTGCTTCACATGTATGTATATAAAGGACGGGGAAAAAGAAAGTATACACTTGAAAATTAGATTTGGCTGAAGAAATTATAAACGTCATCTAAACATTAATAGGCTAGACAGTAGCAGAAACACTGCACATTTAAGGTCCAAACAAAACTATGATACCCGTATCAAATACATCATCATCACATGACGATTTCTTGTTCGCTGTTTAACCGCCATCAAAAATGGGTGTATAACTTTCATTTACGCAGTAGGTTTTGTTTTGGTAACCAAATATTTTTTAGGTTCCATGTTGGTTTAGTTGCAATAAGGGATACTTCTTGAGATACAGGAACGATGTCTGGTGGCAGATGGCTGAAGAATCAAAAGCACCGATAAAATCATCCTTTCCTCTTTTCGAAGTTCAGTTGGACGCGACCTTTAACACCGTTTCACCTCAAAGTTCAAGTCTAGTTATTAAATCTGTGATTTATCAATGATCAGTTACCATTACAATCTCTGAAATGAGAAATAAGTTTCCTTCGATAGACAATTATTTTCTAATTTGGGATTTTGCAATGATATGTTACAATTATGATCTTCGAAATGAAAAACTGATTTGCCTTTGACAGACAATAATTATGAAGCATATTGTTGGGTATTTCAACACTTGTGCATTACTTTAAAATGAGGATTGTTGTTCATTGTTGTTTACATGGCCGTCGCGACAGGAAGACCCTTTTTGATTTCTTTCCTCATTCCAATATAGTTCAGGAAAATAGGCTGCCTTGACTGGGACCACACATGAGATAATTAATCTACTTCCAGCTCCCCCAATGTTTGAGTTTCCCGTTCTCTATTCTCCAACCCCATGGTATTTGCAAAATATCACGTCAACGTTACTATTTTACAGTGCAATCATTATTTCAATATCGCATCTTGAACAAATGAAGCACTGTAGCCAAAACCATAATGTTTAAACAAACCTGCATTAAATATCCCCTTCCCAGACGTGTCTCCAACACATTATTGTTGCGGAAAATGACGAACTAATTACTGTAAAATTCAGGAGATAAACTACCCAAGGTTGGTATTAAGAGGTTTGAAACCTGTATTCTTCGTTTGAAACCGACGAGGATTCGAATGCAATTTCAAAAGGAAGACAATACAGCATGATGGCGCAGCGTTTACCTAAAACAATAAATAAGCACAACAGAGCCCTTTCAATATTCAGAAGAAAATTCTGGTAAAAGCGTAGTCGACTTACTATTACCACGCTATCATGTGTTCATGAATCACTATCAAATAGTGATGATACCAGGTGTTCGCGAAAAATACATGTAAGTCTGAGGAACTACTGCATGAGATGGTTTCATGGATCCGTTGGGTTTGTTAAGGTGTCTAGTCGTAATAGCTATTTGTCATATAATCTAATTATATTAGTTGTACCCTCAATAGTCTATGTTTGATATTATTTATAATTATATATTTCGCTGCAAAATATATGCCCAGATTATATCAAACACGTAACAAGAAATTACATAAATTGCTACAAGTTTATGTATTACCTCATAACCATTTCTAGATGGGTTGCAGATACTGTACGTTGTATGTCTGGTGTGTTCTGATTAAGAGGAGGCGGTCGGGTAGCCTAGTGGTTTAAGCGTTCGCTCGTCACGCCGAAGACCCGGGTTCGATTCCCGACATGGGTACAAAGTGTGAAGTCCATTTCTGGTGTCCCCCGCCGTGATATTGCTGGAATATTGCTAAAAGCGGCGTAAAACCAAACTCACTCACTCACTCAGATTAAGATAACTAAGATTTGATATAAATAATTGTATAACGCAATTATGAACGCAACATTCCTTCTTGTCATTCCTTCCCCGTGTTTTAGTTAGTCCAAAACACATTTAAAACATTTGGGCATAGTTTTAAAAATAAAAGATAATTATATTACTTTAAAAAACTTAGAATGGTTTTAAAATCGGTCATTTTACCGAATATATTTTGAAAGTCCTGAATTCTTTCATTTTTCAAATGCACTGCACTTTGAGAAACATTTTCTTTAATGTTGTATGGCCTTACCATGATATATTGTCTTTTTAGCATGCTGCCACTACAAAACATGGTTAAGCCGAAATCTGTAATATCATTGCAATCTGTTTGATAACAAAGCTAGTTATTGACAAACAGTTTCAGTGGACACATTGGGTTAAGACATCCCCTATCATCTAAACCTTATCTCACAGTGTCTGTTCAAACATTCTGGCAGATGTCACCGTACGTCTACCCATGTCAATATACACCAGGGTTTGCGGGGTCGATTACGCCAGATAGATTTCTGACAACACCTGATATACACGCGGGGTGAGCTGGGTAAATTAGATGAAGGTGTGTGTTTATTAAACTTGAAATATTTGACCCAAGGCAAGATGATTTATGTGTTTGTTGGAGATTTACTGAGTTACCAAGTGCATTTTACACTAAACTTGAAACAGGGTATATTATTATAATAAATCGGTCAACTTATATTGGAAAACTTACATGTACATGAACATCGTTGTCATTTTTGTTGAATAAGTTGTCATGTTTCGAGGAATTTAATTTAATTCAACTCCATATGAGAAATATGTTTTCTGTCAATTAACACTTTGACAACTGTCAATTAACACTATCAGTTTCTATTTTTGTTTGTTAAATGTTTGATCATTCTCAAATGGTTCATTTGTAGGTTTAACTAAGAATGATAATTATTATTTTAACGGGAGATGATAGGAATTTTTGTTGTTTTCACAATGAAGTTCTTCGTATTTATGTGTAGACGCCGGATCCTATGGTTGCTTCAAACAAGGGTCTAAATTTTGTTTGACTTTGATATTGTAATTGTGTCATGGATGTGAAGCTACGATTTCTTTAAAAATGCGTTGAGCCCTTATGTATTTTGATATGGGAATTTTGTAATAAGTTCGAAACTATGTTTAGTTTCCAAATAGTCGTTGAGTATCATATAACTTCGATACAAGAATGATCCCACAGACGTTAACCTATTTTTACTTGCAAAAGACGCTACACATTTCTTTTACTTTGATATACGATTTAGTCTTGGCATTGTTAATGTTTTATTACAAGTATTAATTGTGCCCTTTTTCATTTTTATATAGCAATGATGACATGGGTGTGGCAC